TGTACAAATAATAAAGTTCAATTTTTAACTGAATTTTCAGTTCTTTTTTTTTTTTTTTTTTTTCTTTTCATTTATATTAATAATGATTGACTTTTCTCTATTGGGTAATATTAATTTCATTGGTTTACAGAGAAACATCAGTCTAACAATTTCAGTTCATAACTTCCTCTATAACCAATTAGTGGACAACATTCCATCTGAGATTTTGAAGAAGTTCTTGAAAAACAAGAAAAAAAAATGTCTTTCAAACATTCTACAGATTTTTTACATAGATTAAGGGAACAATAGAAGGATACAGATATTTAGGTAGTGACAAAAATACACATGAATGAATTCTCATATATATAAATCATAGTACGTATGTTAGCTCTGAACTTCTGTATATATAATCTGCAGAGTCAGTAACATCAATTCAGTATTCAAAAGATGCACAAACCAGTTCCTTTTTTCCCCTATTAAAGAAATGCATCATGGAAAGGCTATCAAAATCATGAAGCTTGAGTAAAAATTCATGCTGAATTTTGTCTTTTGTTTAGAAGTTTGTATTCAGTAGTTGTTTTATTTTGAAACTGATAATATTGTGAAAATGTAACAATTGCTGATTCTGGACCTAAATTCTGTTAACAAGAATTCCTGATAATGATGTTCCCTGTAGTGGTATTTTTACCAACTTCCTCCTTCTTAAATTATTTGTTAATGCATAACTTAGTTTGTTTTCTGCAACAGCTTCTCTCCTTCTGCCTCCCAGTTAGAAAATGCATGACCTCACTGAGATTGAATGGCCAAATGCATGGCCTCTCTGAGGTTGAAATTGTATGGAGGATAAAAATTGATGGGGCACACCTTTTTGTGTTCACCTGAACACATTACATCCCTTATTGGTCACTGCTGACAGAGCTCTGTGGTAGAGATGCTCGAAGTGCTGTGCTGCTGAGGCTGTGATTAATGGCAGTTATCAACTTGGACTCTCAAAGTGACATAAAACTGATGGTAATCAGGGTGTTTATCTAACCACTGATGTATGACACATAAAAAATGGGGAAAATGTTAATGCATGCTGAGCATCATTAGTAGATTAAACTTTAAAAAGCATTTGTGGTGTATTATATCTTTTGATGCGTTAATTATAGTCCTTTAAGCTCCTTTAACATGTCATTTGAATTTTTTATCCCCATGTAAATGAGTGGCATTTCATAGCTTGACCTATTACTGTCTCAGAGGTTAAAAATGTACGGGGTGAACCAGGAAAGGCTGGAGCAGCTGCCTATAGGAAATAGGAAAGTTGTCGCAAAACTTCTCCCTTCACCCCACCTCTGTCATTTATCTCACCATAGTTGCTAATTTAGAAACATTTCTTTATGGCCCATTTTCACTTCCACTTAGGTGTCTGAGCTTGATTTTCCTTATACCTGCAAGCAAATCTATCTGATTTCAATTTTAATCAAGGATAAGGAGGAATTAAAAATAAAATAGATGGCTTAGCGTGCAAGGGAAAGGGATTTTTTCCTATTGATTTGCAAGATTAATTAAGAGCTTTGTAAAATAAAATGGAGCCCAACATAAATACAACATAAATACAACAAAAATATCATCTGTATCTTTTTTGACTAATTGATTGGAAGATGAATTCAAAAAACCAGATAAATAATTCCCTGAAAAATCTATCATCATTCAACTAAAATAATCAAATACGCTCAATAGCAGATGTGCACTTGCTTTCCTCTGTTGAAGTATGTAACAAAATTTACATTCATTTCATTGGAATCAGAAGTGCGACAAGCTGCACAGCCAAAAATCTGGTTTTACTAGTCCAAAGGCCGGCAAAATAATTATATTCTAAATCTAGATAGAAATTGAAACACAATAAAAACCTCTACTACTACAATTGATAGCAGGCCAAATATCTTTGTCCTTGGCTATGTATAAAAAGAAATCTATAATATGATATCTGTAAAGATAAAGTTCCTTTACATTCAGTTGCTTGATTCTGATCCAAGACAGTTTTGCCAGGAAACACTTTTTAGAAAAAATGGAGATTTCCATATCTGAGGAATCAGTCTTATTGCTACCATGGAAACAAAGAGAATAAATCCCATGCAAGCTTTTAAAATGCATGTTGATGACAGCAGGGATAAAGGAAAAGTTAGAACAAACCAAAGTATTAACTACAAAGGCCTCAGGTATTATATCCAAAATGTCATTGAGTCCCTGCTCTTCTCACTTATTCCTCAATTTAATAAGACTTCATTAGTAAATTAGTAGGGCATTTCTGAATTTAAATACAACAGTCATAATGACTCCGCTGCTTTTTATCGTGTATTTGGGATTACATTATATTCCAGATATATTCCATATAGATGTGGAATAAGGGGTAGATTTTCAGAGACACACGAAAACTAAGTACTTAAACATGAATGGTAACAGCTAACACTGTTAGCTGTTAGGCAGCTAGCTGTACTATGTACCCATGAATCCATGAACTCCTGTCCCTGAGCAATAATTTTTCCTTTATTTTTCAGCAAAGCTGTCTTTGTAGACAAGTGGTCTGGCATTACCTGTTGCATCTGCTGGGTCTGGGTTCAGGACCCCTTTCAGATTTCCCCTCTAGCAGCAGTCTGTCTCTTCCTGTTCAATGGCAGTGTGTTTTTTTTTTTTCTTTTCTTTTTTTTTTTTTTTTTTTTTCGTGCAAGCAGCAAGCATTCTTTTTCAATGTCACCTGCTTTTCTTCTCCCTTCTCTAAGTGGCAGGCCAAAGAGAGGACCTGTTACCTATTGTAACCATTAGCAGCAGACCTTGACTGCTCAGCAGTCCTTAACACTCCGTTAGATCAGCAGGTAGCTTTTAGACACACACTGCCATATGAGCTGCCTTCTGGTAGTGTAATTGGGTCAGAAGGGAGCAAAACCAAAGCATTCTCCTGGTGGAAAAGTCATCACTTGTACAGCTAATGGAACTTGCACAGGGAATAAATCAGAATCAGGGTATGGGAGAGGGATGGGGCACTGCTGTCTGAATGGAAAGGTCATAAGTTTCTGGTGTATGTGAGCACTCCAGCAGCATATTACCTGCCCCTGAGGTGAATATTAACTGGTGAACAGAACTGGGAGATGATTCATAGCTCCCCCATAAATAATCAGTGCTCTTTGTGTCAGGCATATCACAGGTGCAGGAGAGTACCTACTGCCTTCATGCACTCCCAAAACAACACGTAATCAGAATGAACAGTGGAGGAAGCCAGGGCACTTCAAACACCTCAGTGTTTCTGAAGCCATACTTCCTTTCCTGACTGCTCTCTTGTTCACTGATGCAAGAAATCAGTGACTGCACATAGTAATAGCAAGTTGCATCTTTCCCTGGAGCAAAAACAAAGATTTAGCCAACAGCTTGGTCTAGGGAGGCCTGTGTAGGTGTTAGAAAAGGTTTCAAAGAGCATTTCCACCTTGACACCCGTTGCAGTGGACTGCATAGGTCATGTAACTCAGTAATGCTTAGCAGCATGACTTCCTTAGTGGGCAGGTATGATTTAAGTTATCCTGGACCAGAGTCTGGTTTGATAGTCATTACATTAATTAATAAAACATTCATTAGTTGTATGTGGATTCTATGTAGACACATAATGGAGATTCAATAATTTGGAAAATGACAATAGAGAATTTTGTCCACAGAGATTTCTGGGCCTTTTTTACTTGTCTCTTCTGTCTGCTGTCTGATACTGTTTTTACATAAAAATAATAATAAAAACCATAATAATTAAAAAAAAATAAAAAAATAAAAATAATTTAAATAGTTCTATTTCATTTGGAACCTCTATCAATCCAGAAGAAAATCAGAAAAATGTAAATCAGCTTATATAATAACATTCTCTATGCTCTATACCAACATCAGGCCAAATACATCTGTTTCACTTCATGTATGTTCACCTAGCATAGTCATAATATTTCCAAGAAATCCATGATAGGGTTTTTCTGCTATGAAGATTTTTATTTTTATCTAGTCTGAATAACTTTTGGTGCAGTTTAATCACATTTCTTCCTGTTCTATCCATCATAGACATGGAGAACCACATATTCGTACAGGACCATTCAGGAAGGCCTCAAAGGACTCCTCTTTGAAGGAGTTGTGTTGTGTTTTTGTTTGTTTGTTTGTTTGTTTGTTTTTTTGTTGTTTTGTTTTTTTTTTTTTTTTTTTTTTTTTTTGTATCTGAAAGCTCTTATGATGGCTTTTTTTCATCCCCTTCAGCCTACTTTTTCCTAGACTAAGTGGGTTGTGTTTTTTTGTTTTGTTTTGTTTTGTTTCTTTGTTTGTTTTGTCTTTCCACCTAAGTCACAGTTTCTCAGCTTTCTTGAATTCATTCTTGTACTTCTTATTCATTCTTATTCCTCTTCTCAGTACTCTCTTTAAGTAATCTATGTCTCTCCTGACCCAGGATTCCCAAAGCTGAACACAGTGTTCTCCCTTATGTCCCATGTCTTACAGTCTTCTGTAGTAGACCAAATTGTTTGCCTTCTGTTTTCCACAGACAATACCCTTGTTATTGTATTTGGGTATAATTTTTAGCCTTGTTGTTTTTGTTTGATTGTTTTTTGTTTGTTATAACATCACCTTCTTGATGTTTGCTCAGCTTTGTGACCTACTGGAACATCCAGTCCCTCTTCAAATGTATGACCACTTGTCCCACATCCAGTGTCTTTAGAGATGATTATTTCTACTTGCATTCTTTGTATGTTTCTTGAAGATATCTGCATTTCTTATTTATTTATTTGTTTATCTATTTATTTTTAATGTCATGCTTTTACCCCATCTATGGGCCTCTCCTCTGTCTGTCTTACCCCTCATCTTTAAGTTCTTAACCAGCTCCTTCCAACAGACCTGTGACAACCACACATAGATTGGTTTCCTCCAGTTTTTATACCAAGTTGTCAACAATGAGTAAAAAGAACTTGTTAGATGTTGCAGGAAGAATGCCCAAAAACATGACAGACACGAGTATGGTCATATCATGCTCCATTTTATTACCAGAGTAGCCTGACTTTTATGGTAAACTTAACAGGGGCGGATAGTGTCTCACACAAGATTATTTGTCAAAAGCACTCAGACAAACTACTGCACAAAAACAACCCCACCTGCAAGAAAACAACCCCCTTGTGATTAGCAGTCACATAAATCCCGTCCTTGAAGTCAGCTGCTGGCAACAATATTTTTCTAAATTCCTCAGTTGGGTGATGTAGGAACACTGTCATTGGAACTTCTCATAGTCGTCCTGGTAGCTTGGTTTGCTCAGCTGCAGCAAGCCATGGGATATTTGCTGTTTCAAAAATCCCTCAACGGTTAGATACCTTTTGTTCTTTATTTTCTCTTTCAGCAGATGCTTCCATAGGTAAATCTCCTTTAACAAAGGAGAATAATCCAGGCAGTTCTAAGATTTTTAAACTATCAGAACCTGTTTATAAGGGAAAGGAGAGATGTATGATTTGGTATTCAAGCAAGAACAATCCCTATCTAGTAGTGTTGGTAAGTAAAGGCCAGTCACCTCTTATATAGAGGTCTGCAATGTTTTAGATTAATAAATTAAACTTCTGAACATATGCAATTTTTATAAAGACAACAGATAAATAAAATTCATGTTAATCTAACACAATTGGTATGGTTCATTAAACAAGATAAAAATATAGGTATGAATAAATATAAATACCCTGAACAAACATGGTATTCATTTACCTTAAGGGTGGTCCTGTGGTTGCAAAACCTGCACATTCTACTTCTTAATTAACACTGCTATATTGTGCTAGAAAGCATTGGTAAGCCTTGCTCAGATGATTCTGGTTTCAAGGTTTATAGTAGATCCCCAGCATACTGCCAGCTGTGTTAGTGCCTTTTTCCTGCTTTCTCTACTTCTAACATCCTCTGCATATTGGACTTCAGAGTGAACAATCACATCCTTGATACATAAAGGTGTATCTTCTCTCTTTTAACACTATCCTTCCCAAATAGCTCAAGACATTTAATTTTGTATCACTTCCATGTGAATCATCTCTTTAAATTTCTGCTATTCTTACTAGATCACATTCTTATTCTGCATTAAAACTTTTAAAACCTTATTTTTATTAGGTTTATTAGACACCAATACATATCGCAGGCAGAGGACCAGAGCTGAGTCTTACCCTAGTCTACTTTATGTTCTTTCTGTTATCTTGTCCACACTGTTTGGTTATTTTTCTGTTTGGTTAATTATTATATATGCTTATCTAGGGGGTTTTGCTACCAGTAATCAGAAGCAAAGTTAAACTGTCTTATTAGAATTGCAATCTGAAGGGAAGAAGGTGAAGACAAATGAGAGCTCTTCTTTTCTGTTCCTCTGAGCATCCTACAAGAATGGAGATAGTGATAAATTGAGATTGTAATTTCTCATATAGCATAGCCAACATAAAAAATAATCAAGGAACAATTTACCAAAGTAAGATGAGAGTCTAGGACTAATAAAATATCTCTTTATCTCCACATCATTATTCCCATCATTTACCAATCAAAAATAAAATATAAAAAAATTTAAAAAAAATCTCTTGATTCAGAACTTTAGTTTCATTTTGGTATTTTATTTATGAGAATTTTCATGTGAAAGGAGTTTTTTGTTTTGTTTTGTTTTGCTTTCCAGAAAAGTCTTACAATTGCCCTCCTGTGAAGCAAAGGGGAAAATAACACTCATTGTAACAAACATTTTGAAAAATATATATTGTTAGAAAATGTAACATTTAATGGAATAAATCAACTCACCTTATTCCACAGGAAAATAAAAATACATTTTTCACATATCACTAATAAAATCTAAGTGTTCTGCAGGATCTATGGATCTAACAAGAACACTGTTCAATCTCTCTTATGTTTAAAAAATATGGAAACCTTAGCTTAATAAAATGAATTAAAATGTATCCTGTTATAATGTATCCTGTTATATCCTGTTACTTCAGGGTAAGAAAAAGTTAATGGTCAAAGTGGGGCAAACTAAATGAATGGAATCAAAATATTGAAAAATTAGTCTTCCTGCATATAATGAAATAAAACTAAATGTAGGGGAAAGAAACAAAAGAATAGTTGAAAGAGAATGACAGCATGTGACTGCAAGGGATTTTGTTTTCTTTCTTCCCTTTTATAAAGATAGTGTTTGAATTTTAAACTTGTTTTTTAATTTTGTTATCAGATACAATTTCTCTTAAATGTCATTCTACTCTTTAATATTTAGTGCTTATATCAAAGGAAATACTTAAATAATGTGGGTTGTAATGTTCATTTACAAGTAATGTCTAAAATTGGCATGTTTGGACAAATCAATTATTTCATGTGCATGTAAGATTTGAACTGTAATCAGTTCCAAAACTACATTTTTAGCAACCATTTTCAAAGCAGCAGCTAATTATGGATTGTGAACTTTCCAAATGAGGCTCGATGCTATTAAAGAGATTTGGTTGATTAGTCTTTGAAGATATATTACTAGGGTGAAATTCTCATCAGATTTATCTAAATTAAAGTGTATCTGTGTTAGCAAGCCCTGAATTTGGTTTGCTATGTTTTCAAATATATTCAGCTTGTCTGCTTATCATTCTGAGTAAGAATTAATAGCTCAACCTATCCACCTAAATTATTCTCTAATATATTTTATAAATCTATTTTAAACTAATGTTTGTACACATAAAGAAATATGTTTATGAGTGCACAATCAAATATATACAACATAACAAAATATTTAAATCTTCCTGTTGGAGTGTATTTTGTATTTGTATTTCTTATACTTGATATTTGTAGATTATAAGCAAAATCAATGGCATAAATAAATATTGCAAAAATGTATTTGCCTTTTATCTTCTTACTGTAATATATCCTTATTTTTAAAAAATATTGTCATGGTGCAATTTCAGTAACACAGAGTTGCTGAGGTCACTAGAGCACTTTCCTCCAGTGCATATGATAAAGCTCATATTTTCATGTGTGTTTCATATTTGAATAGAATATCCTTTGTAATGAAGTACCCTACACTTCTTTTCAGTCCAGAAGTGGACTTTAAAACTGAACTTATTAGAGTTCCCATCTGGTTATCTTCAGTTTAGTAAAAGAAGCTGTCCTGTACATGAAAGTATGGCTGTCAACTGGAAAGTAGTGCTAAAAAAAAAATTAAAAAAATAATAATAAAAAAAAAAAACAAGGGGCTAAGGTTGAAGTCTCTTGGTTCTTCCAGAACTAATTCCAATTAACAAGGAAAAGGATATTTTGGTTCCCTCTGCTCTCTGCTTCTGCTCGTCTCTCTCTCTCTCTCTCTCTCTCTCTCTCTCCCCTCTTTTGTTTTTGTTTTTGTTTTTGTTTTCTATCGCATTTACTTCCCCATTCTGCCTTCTTAGGTAACTTTACTTTTTTAATTTGGTAGTATAAGATGTGAAAACTTTGTATTATTATTTAAAAAAAAAAAATCCTGTTCAAGAAGCTCAAGCTTGAAATGTACCTCATTTGAGGTACAGTGCTTGACTGCTAGCGACGGGAGGCATATCATTTTTACGCATGTGTGTTCCTGTACACCTTGACATATGCATTAAATCAGTATTATGCCAAAGAGGAAACATAAAACTACATGAATGCTAATAAAACCTGTATATTTCCATTGCATTTAATTTTCTTTTATTTCATAATTCAACAGAACAGCAATAATATTTTTCTAAATCTTATGACTCGTTTTTAGATCTAGACCAAAACTGGACCTTGAATTCAACTGTGTAGTGTTAGAGGGAGAGAAAAGTTATAAACAGTAAAGAGTGCAGACCTCTAAATATTACCTACAATTGCTTTCCAGTGTCATGATTTTACGACCCAATATCGTCCAGCCTGCCAGAACTAGGAAGGATCATCATTTCTCATTGCAAGGGAAGACAATCCACTTTCTAATGTGATAAAGCATCCATTCAAAGTCAGATGGTTCATGAAATATTGAAACTTAAACCTGTCGCTAATCTAGGACCTAATACTGACTATCCTGCACTACAGTGTAGTGTTCTTTCTCTTTTTCCCTCACATATAGCCCTGGGCCCTGTTTGTATTGGTGGGTAATACATTTGCATTTGCAGAGGAAGGAAAAGACACCTTGTACTGGACTCTGAAATTTCTTTAAAAATTTTAGAAGTTAATTTGAACTAGTGCCTCTCTTTTGTTGTTATCTGGGATGAATACTGTATAGCTCCTTTTAAAATGGAACCATAAATTTTGACTTTTTTGTTTGTTTGTTTCTCTCTCCACAGGATACAGCTATAGTTTTTTAAAAAGTAAATGATAAAAGGAGAAATCTTAAAGTCAGGAGTTCAGATGAGAGACAGTTTGTTTATTTAACAAGTTTATGCAAATCTGAAGAGGATCAGTTAGAAGCTTTTTTTTTTTTTTTTTAAATTGTTATATTTAAATGATGACTAAATTAAAATATGCTGAAAGTAGCTCTGATAATTTATACACTATGAGCTTTAAAAGCTTTTCTGTTAAAAAAAAATAAAATTCCATTCATGTCAGACAAAAAAAAAAAAAAAGAAAAAATAACTGTATTCTGCTCCACTGATACAGTTGATAGAAATCAAAAAATTCTCCTCTGTGCTTTCCAAGGACTGTCAAAGAATACTTCACGTCCATCCAGTTAACACTAGACTCATGAACATAATCAAATAATCATTCTTAACCAGTGGTTTTAACCATTCACTGAATAAAGACACCACATATTAACAGATGTTCAGTTTGAACTACCTTTAAAGAGACATAACAACTTTAAGGCAAACCTGAATGATCTGGATAAGCAGGACAAGACAAGTGTTTGCTTCTCTGCTTAAAGAGAACAGTCTTTATATTTCAGTACCGATGTTATTATGTTTCAAAATATCCAAATTCATAAAAACTCAGGAGGATGGTGTTGAGATTTTCTTTAGTATTTTTTTTCCATCCCTCTGTGTCTCAAAGCTTTGTCTAAAAATGAGGCTAAAGATGCTTCTTTTCTAGGCCTTATTTCAACCATTAGATTACTCAAGATAGGACAACAATTTTGACAATTCAAGCACAGTGAGGGTTTTGTACTCTAATTTCAAGAAATTAATGTATCAGAAGTTAATGACAGCAGAGGCATTATGGTTAAGATGCAGACAGTATAATCTCTGGTAGTGTCATTATACGGCAAATTTTATCTCCTTCAATACATATTAAATCACACAAATATAAAAAGAATACAAAAATAAATTTTATTTATTTTAAATTTGTTAATGTATTTCTCAGCCTTCAGTTATTAAATACTTATATCTTTTTTTCTGACGATACGGATGTAAATTAATAAAGATTAACCACCTAGATGGCTAAAAGTGTGTTTAACAAGTAGTCTTTTCATAATCTGTCATATTTAACAACATGTAAAAATCACCCAACCTTATTTCAGCCTATAAATCAATGTTTGTATGTCTATACACTGGGTGCAGTATGAAAAAAGTTGCTGTTTTGCCAGACAAAAATTTGGGCTTTAAGGACATAGCCTCTACTGGAAACATTTTAGATAATAAATGACTGTCTAAAATTATGTTTTATCTAGATACTATATGAAGTATTAGTCTTTCTAGAGAAGGAACTGGTTGTAGTTATATAAAGAATTTCTTGATTGTGAGGAAAGCGGAAAAAAGAAGTGTAATTAAGTTTCCTCCTAAAGGCACTTTGCGAATGTAAAATGCCTATGCAAACTCTCTGCTTTCGAAGTACATGGCTCTAAATTGCTCATCTTTAGATCTGAAAATACAAATTTTCCTTCACTTCAAGCATAATTATCTTTTATTGCAACAAGATATGGGGGGCAAAAAGAAAATTGATGAGGGAAAGGGTAATTGATAGTGAGGCACAAAATATGTTGGGAAAGGGTAACAGCAACAGATGCAGCATGTAGCTGAAATGAAATGGGGAAATGGCTAAAGGTTGAACAGCACTAACAGCAGGAGGAGCAGGAACTTGAACCTGCTCTGTGCACCATCCCAGACTTTGTTCCCTCAGGTCTGGTAGGAAGATATCCCCCCACAGCTTCTGACTCCAATTTGACCCTTCCTTTTGCCCAAACATATCTTCTTTGTTATCAGCAGCTTGGTAGCTCCCCTTCCTCTCCTTCTACAGACAAAACCTTTCCAAATGTCGCTTCAGCTAAAGCAGAGAAAATTTTGTCAGATATACGTTTCTTTTTTTTCATCTCTTTTTTAATCTCTCTTTTTCATCTCTTTATATCCAACATCTCAGGTGTACCTAATGTAGTGGGGGAAGAAAAGTTATGGTGGTGTTTGATTTTCAAGTGATGGGCTCAAATGATTTGAATGATTTGCACCA